TTTTGCAACAGCTAGYAGGGAGCATGGCTAGRATCTGGAGATTATTCTACACCACCTCACATCATTTTCCAGGAAYAGGGGAAGGGATCTCTTCCATGTTTAGAYAGCAYRGCACAGTTGGGCACTGTCAGGCTTGGAGTGGTAKAGCRAGGAGCATTTCCGTGWAAATTGSCCARCTCTCCTGTMCACTTTTGCTATTTATATGTTTGCTGTTACTGYTCATTTTCTTCCTGTTTCCAGTAAATTGTTCTTATCTCCACACATCTTTMCWTTTTGTGCCTCCAGTTCTCCTCCCCAGCYCCACACAGGSARGGGGAGYGGGRAGTGAGTGARCAGTTCGTCATTTGGGMTGGTTTCAGTGGGAGCACTAAACTGGAGAATTCCATTCCTAAACCTCAACAGAAGCCATGTGCTAGAATACATGAAGAAGACACATGCAAAGCAGACAGAAAACACACAAAAAGTTATCAAGTAACTGTTTAAGCACTGAGTTCAAAGCTGTGCTTTAAAACTGAAATCCCTTCAGTCTCCCTTGATTCTRCAGAATTGCTCTACTCTGCTCTGAAAGCAGAAGTGGGCTGTGGAATAAGAACACAGCAAATACAGGTTTTTATATGCCCAACAGGTGGTGGAAAAAAATAATTAGAAGCTTTAGGGAACGGTAAAGCAATTATATCAAAAAGTCCTTTGTAACAGTCCAGCTAAATGAACATTCCTCTACTTTGACAAACTTCTCAAAGTATATTCACAGACTGTGATCAAAACAAACAAAATTCTCAAGTCAAAGACTTCTCAGCTTCTAAAGACTGCATTTCCATCTAGGCTTTTTAAAGAGAACTGACATCTATTATTAATCTCTATCCACACTTAAAATGTAACTCTCTGGAAACCAGCCCTAGCCGAACCTTTCACACTCTGAGAACAGCATTCCTTCTGTGGAGAAGTGAGGATGTCAAACTGATACGAGAAATGTTAAGAAGACATTTATGTTCTACTGCACTTGGACTCAGCGCTTTGGTTTGAAGTCTCAAACACTTCAGGGTGGTCTCATGCTGTCCAGCATCTGCAGCAAGGGAGTGAATGTTCCATGTTTCTTTCTCCATATTTAACTGCACTTTCTTGCCCCCCTTTTGGGACTGTAATACCTTCCAAGACTGGCCCTCAATGCTTTCCTAAATATGTCATTTGGGAAAATGGATCTGATACTTCAATTCATGAATCACTTCCAGCCATAAAAGCTGATCTCCCTCAGTGTTAAACCCCCCTTTTCTCCAACAAAACTGGCTGATTGCTTGGAAATATACAGAAGAAATKAAATCATGAATACATCCTAGAGGAAAGGAAAGATAAAATCATACTATGTTTAGAATGTATTGTATCCTGGGTGGGGTTTCCTTGTCTCCTTTTAAAAAATCAAGATTTCAAKAAAGGGGCAAGGTCTGCATCCTACACAACAGGCATTTATGAGAGATACCACTACTGTTACTTGATTATTTTTTCTGTGTTTTCTGTCTGCTTTGCATGTGTCTTCTCCATGTATTCTAGCACTTGGCTTCTGMTGTGTTTTAAGAAGGGTATTCTCCAGTTTAGTGCTCCCACTGAAACCAGCCCAAATGACGAACTGTTCACTCACTCCCCACTCCCCC